GGAATTGATCCTGTTGATAATACCAGATAATGCACTTTTTTTCCTGGAACTGTAACTAAATTCCGCTCAGCATAGTTACAGTATAAACCACTAGTGGACCCTCTGGCCGTTGAACAAACAAAAATGGCGTCTGTAGTACTGATTGGCTACACACCTCGCAGATACAGACATGCTCAGGCAGCAGCCAGCCATTATATATATATATATATATATATATATATATATATATATATATATATATATATATATATGTTTGTGTGTTTTACCAACAGACTATCGACTTTCTTACAATAACAACTAGGTGCAAAATGTGTTGGCTGCATTTGGAAAACTAAGCCAAAATTGCACTGAGAATTAAACTGATACGAGGGTAGGAGGAAAGGTTTATAGACTGACTGTGAAAGAGTTGGGGCTAAATCCTTTTCTGCAGGTACTTAGTAACACCGCGATGCCAAATGCTACTAGTGACTTTTGAAGTCTTCTTTGAACAGACATATGTCAGTTTACTTGGAAAGAAATCAATGCAGTTATTAATAAAAAAGAGTTGAAATTAATGCATGCGAGATTTCACAGCTCTAGCATCACTCATTCATAGCCAGCCTATAAACTTTTCATCCTATTCTCGTAGAAAACAAAGCTTGTTGCCAAGAAGATTAATTCATCTTAAAATGGCTACAGTTTTAGCCAAAAGTTCCCGAGACAATACACATTGTGAATAATTTCACTACATACTCACTCCTCAAAAAAGGATAATTGCACTTGAAAAATTGAATATAAAACCTTGAAAAATAATACTTGTTCGTTATATTTAATGAAACATGCACAAAAAATGATTGCTCCCTTAATATAAAAATATATGTGTGTGCTTCTGCGAGTTTTTTTATTTAGCGAAACGAATTGAACATGTATGCAAGAATTATATATATATATATATATATATATATATATATATATATATATATATATATATCATGAAAGTTAAATGACACATTAAGAATAATGGTAACTGAAAATCCCTTATTTTGCATTTGATATCTTTCACACCAACAGCTACTGAATTAATAGTGTAGTTGCTGGAGATAAAATGACATGAAAAAAAAAACTGTCGGGTTTTTAACATTTTTACCCTCCAGTTTTTCAGGGATCATTTTTCCGAAAACAAAACATTCTTGAATGTATGTCCTTTTTTTTTTTACTACTAGGCTTTTGATTTAAAAAAAAAACATAAGGAAATAAGTATGGATGTCTATAAGTGAAAAAATAAAATCACACAAGAGAGGAAATCGCCTTAAAAGAATTTAAAAGAAATATTTATGAAAGATATGAGTCTAGCAAATAAATAAATACGCCATGTTTTCTTTTTCTAGTATACGATCGACCTCAGGATGTAGACGATCATGGCTCTCTACAACTTTCTGTCTCGAGTGGCTCTTAGCAGTTTTCCTCCCTTTTCTAAGCATACCCTTCACTTCGTTCGGCCACGATTTCACACAAGCTTATCAGGTAAGAGAATTGCGGACTTCCCCTATTTCTCTTGCCCTCAATATGCCCCGAGTGAGTTAAGTTTTCCAAACCCGCTTTCCTCATTATGCGTCCAAGGAATTTAAGCTGTCTTTTCCTGATTCTAAGTGTTTTTTTTTTTCTGACTTTAAGACTTCCTTGTTGCTTACTCCCTTCGTGTATGGAATTCTCAGTATCCTTCTGTAGGACCATATGTGAACGGAGGAAGAGATAAAGTGAAAATGAGACCAGTGCAATTAATACGAGGCTGGTCTTTTTCAATCTATCTCTCCCTCTCTTTCTCTCCCCCTCCCTTCATCTCTCTAAGATATTTATCTGTAGGTATTTTGGTGTGTGTGTGTGTGTGTGTGTGTGTGTGTGTGTGTGTGTGTGTGTGTGGCGTGCTATATACATCCACTTGTGTGTCAAGTATAGTTCTAAATAAAACCAAATTTCGACGCATCAAATAAAAAGGAACAGTCTATATTTCTGAGATGAGGTATTATGTACACCATTTACATTATTCGGACTATTGTCCTCAAGGACACATGACACAGTGGATAAAGGCGTTAGTTAGATCCAGTGATAGGATCTAAAGAGTGTGAGTTCAATACCCGCTTGAGGCAGTGGAGAACTTGGAGAGGGGAATTAACAGGAGATAACTGATAACTGACATCCATTAAACATGGCACGTGGAACTAGAACAGTCTACCCCAGTGAGCGAAATAAAAGGTTCAGTTCGACATTCCAACCACCTGAAGAAGGCCGGAGCGTACAAAGGCCGAAACGTTGTAATAAACATGGCGACGAAGATGAGGGCAATAGTCCGAATAATGTAAATAGTGTAAAAAGGAACATATTACACATTACTAACAGTCCTCAAGGCTTATGGCAATATGACGTTGAAACACCGGTTCCCGTATGATGACCGAAGTTAAGCAACGTCGAGCCTGGTCAGTATCTAGATGGGTGACCACTTGGGAATAGCAGGTGCTGTAAGCTTGGATGTCAGTGCGGGAGCCCAGTTCCAATTCCAGTTGGGTTCGTTATAATCACTTACGTGCAAATACTCTTGGAGTAGGTATGAATCCTTCTCTTCTCCCCCAGTTATGGGTTAATTAGTAAGACTTGTATCACTAAAACGATTATTATCTCCAAAAAATTCGTACAAAGTAATTAGATTTCGGCATTAAATGACCCATACCAACAGACCCCAAGACCAGGCTTTCACAAAGTGAAGGTTGTGTAGAAATGCTTTAGGGTCACGAGTGCAATTGAAAATTATTTTTGACCTGAAAAAAATAGCAATTTTATATTTCACCTATAAACAAATGCACAAATTTAAACTATAATAATAACCATGCCAAAAATTCCTGTCATATTGAAATAATGGTACAGTGTTTCCTTGTTTATTTGAATATATGCTTGTGAACCAGCGATATCGATTTCCTACCTCCGAATGATTTTAGATATGGCGGCGGTATGACCGTTTACACATGGCCTTGTGTAAGTGATATATGATAGCTATCCTGACACAAATATTAAAAGATGAGAATGGGCGAAAAAAGGCAGAGAAGAATTTGGCATAAAAAGAATCTTTTAGAAGAAGTCATGTTGCGACTCACCAGCAGGCAAGAAAACAACAATAAAATTGGAATGGAAATATACGAGGTGCATTCCGGAAGTTTTGAAACTTCTTTAAGAGAGAAATTTATTAATTTCAAAGAAGTACAAAACTGTAATCTTCAAAGTAGGATCCCATGACTATAATGGACTTGCTTTAGCGCTCCAGCAACGTCGCGAAATTCCTATGAAAGTCGTTTAAAGTGAAGATACTCAAAAACCTTGTCACTGCCTGCTTAATCTTCTCAATATCTTCAAAATGATTGCCCCTGAGGTTTTCCATGAATTTGGGAAACATCTAAAAGTCACAGAAAACAAGGTCTGATCTGTAGGGAGAGTGAGGTACAGTTTGGAAGCCTATCTCTGTCCAGCTTCCAAATTGTCTTCACGTCTTGACTGCATTCTGTAAACTAGTCATTTGTGTTCAGTAGGGTGTGTTCAAAGATCTGTTACAGCTGTTCCCTTCAGTCTGCAATAACAAAAGTTGGTAAGTCAGCTTATTAGATGTATAGTAATGCTATACTAAAATTACAATAATCTAGGACAATTATAACTGCTTCTACTAAAAAAATAATCTGAAAATCTCTGGAATGCTCCTCGTATAAGTGAAATAAACACCAAAATAATTTATTTACATTTTTACAATTCATGTTTCGGCAAATGTTGGATATGGGATGAGAAAGTTTCATTCATAATGCATGGATATCTGTATGAGGAAGAGAAATATACAATTCCGTGTCTTTGAAATAAGGCTTAAAAAGTTCTTGTGGCAACATTTCTAGTCGCGCGCGGAACGTATTATCTAGCAGGTTAACACAGTGGACCTTATTAACCTCGTTAAATTTTACACAGTGGACCTTATAAAACGATTAAATTGCAAAATAAAATGCCTCCTTAGTGGCATCAGTTCTCAACTCCGTATTTATACTGATGGCAAAATTATTTACTACGATCTTAATAGTAAGTTTGATCAGTTCGATGAGACAAATTGGCGGCAGATCTTAAAAATGACTTTCAGTCTGTTGCTAATTGAAATCAGGAACTCTGTTCCAGCCAATGTGATTCGCTCCCTCCGAATCAATTCAGCTAACAGAAATATGCCATTTTTACTACAATATTTACTTTCATACTACTCGATTAATTTATCATTTCACTTCAAGGAAGGCAATAAAGCCACTAAAACGCAAGGAACTACTGAGTGTTAGAGAATATGAGGAAAAACACTATTAAGGAGAAAGAACAAAAGAAAAGGAATTAAGAAGACAGATAATAATTGACATAGCATTTAAATTTCTAAAGATCAAAGTTTTAAGCAAGAAGATGGAGTAGAGTTCCACAAACGAGAAGTGCGACAGAGGAAACTGTTCGTATAGAATTTACAGTTACATCTAGCCATTTCAACTATACACTTTTGATGAGACCTCGCCGCCAATCTAGTACTGCGCTTAAGTTCATAGAGTCTAGATACCAGAGGGTAAAGTTCATCACAATACCATGAAAGTATTTATTTAAAAAAAAAGAACGGGAAAGCTATATTACGGCAGTAGAAAAGTGCCTGAATCCCGGATGCTAGGTTAGGACCAATAACATTGCAGATTTTTATTTGAATTTTATCAAGAATCACTAAATATATTGCAGGGACACCGGGCCAGATGTGGCAGCAATAGTCAAAGCAAAGATGAATAAATATGTAAGATGATTCTGGAGATAAAAAATGCTCAGTACGACACAGTGAACCAACTTTCCTAGCGGCAGACCTAGCAATTGATTCAATATAAACTTTCCTCTTTATGTCAACGGAAAACTTTAGTCCAAGAAGTCGCAGTGAGTCACTATCCTGGATGTGAGCATCAGCCATCCTGATGGAAAGTAAAAAAAAAAAGTTCTCTCAGACCATTACAAGAGAGCAGTTTCGTTTTTGGAGCGTTAAAATTAATAATGTGTTCCTGATTCCAATTAGCAACAGACTGAAAGTCATTTTTAAGATCTGCCGCCAACTTGTCTCAACGAACTGATCAAACTTACTATTAAGATCGTAGTAAATAATTGTGCCATCAGCATAAATACGGAGTTGAGAACTGGTGCCACTAAGGAGGCATTTTATTTTGCAATTTAATCGTTTTATAAGGTCCACTGTGTAAAATTTAACGAAACGACTTTGAATGACACTCTTTATCCTATTAGTTTTTTTCGCGATATGAGTGAACAAATTCCGTTGTTTTGAAATTTACTCAAATCTAAGAATATCTAAATTAGATTAAAAACATGAAGTAGGAGGTTTTTACGCGTTTTGTCTTCCGTAACGACATAAGTATTTTTACTCGTCTGGTCTTACATCGCGAAAGGAATATTTTGCGCTTCTGGTCTTTCGTAGCGAAAGGAATATTTTTTACGCGTCTGGTCTTCTGTACCAGAAGTCGACAATGATTGGTTACCGGAAATGAACGTGGCCCCTTACGTAGAAAAAAATGCTTGGATTTCTTTTTGCCAACGGGAGGTGGTGGTGGCAGTCATGATAAATTTCTTTTAATAAAAGGGAACCGCGATTCAGAAAGTTTGAGAAGGTTTGTTCTATACGAGATCACTAAAGCTGACACAGAGCATGCGCACCAAAAATAAAAGACTTCCTGTTGCCACGCGGATGTCGATACACACAGTAGATCAAATTCGCAACGTATATGAACCCGATAAAAAAAAAATAAATATGGAAAGAACCGTTGAATTAAGACATAAAGTGTCAGCAGTCGAACTTTGCTGAGTTGAAGGCAACATGCCATGAAGGCTAGTCATAAATACCAATGAATTGCTGTCGTAGGCTGGTATCATCCCGCATGAAATATTCAGAGGCAGTCTTAACAGGTTCTGCAACCAAGTATTAATTGGTAATTTCTTAGCTGTTACGGCTTCAAATATCTTTGCTGAGTTGAAGAATTGTAAAAAGAAAAATACTAGCGACTTGTTGCTTGACACTTCTCATTGCCCACTTCACTGATCACAATCTCAGCAACATTCTCATTATAGCCCAGGAAATCTCAAGATTTATTAAAACTCTTAACCCTTAGAATGTCATCGGTCCAGACAAAATCTCGGTGTAGCCCTTAAGAATATTAACCTAGAGTTATCCCCAATCATAGCGAAACTATTTAGCCTCTGTTTGAATAAAAATCCTTCCCAAGTCTGTAGAAAGTGTTAAGTATATGCCCGGTTTTCAGGAATACAAATGAGCGCTCATCCCCACTCTCAGTATAGACCCATCAATGTCACCAGCAAACTCTTTGAACCTGTAATCAGCAAGAAAGCTATTGATCACCTCAATAGATACAACTCCCTGAGCGACAAGCAGTATGGATTTCGATCTGCTCGGCCCACTGCTGATATCCTAATTGCGATTACTCACAAAATTAGAGAAAGGTCGCATTAGATATTACAAAGGCTTTTAACAAAGTATGGCATAAGGGGTTGCTGTTTAAGCTCTCTAGCTATGGAGTCACTGGAAGAGTCTTCTTAGTTATAAAGTCCTTCCTACCTGTTAGGTCCCTGAAGCTCCAGGCGATCAATGCCGGCTTCCCCCGAGGTGCGCTTCTCCGTTCAACCCGCTTTCTCCTCTACATAAATGATCATCCTAAGAGTATGCCCCAATCATTTGCTGATGATACAACGGTATGTGGGTTCACCTCCAAAACCCTTGAGTTTAGCAACTGATCTCGCCTCTGACCTAACCCTAGTAGCTCAGAGGGAAAAAACTGGCTGGTCACCTTCAATGCTTCAAAGACCAAATAAGTGACCCTCCAGCATCACGAATCGGACCCAGAACTTTCATCACTCGTGAAGAACGGAATCTCCCTCAGGGAGACCCTGTTACTTGAGCCCCTATTGGAAATTCACGCAGACTTCCAGGGGAACCCTTGCATACAATAGATTACTGGGAAAATGGTCGGTTCCATGTAGAGCCCCAGATTCTTCCTGTTACCTTTACAAGAGCCACGTGAGGCCGAAAATGGAGTGCTGTTGCCATATATAGGCTGGAGCTACCCAGTCTTCATTTTCCACTGGATAGAGTCCAAAACATCGTTCGCGTTGAATTATTATCAACTCTGCAACCCCTTTCTCACAGACGAGACATCGCAAGACTCTAACTTCTCTATCGCTATTTCCATGGTGAGAGTTCAAATGAACTCCACTCCATAGTTCTCCCAGTCCTAACCTTCCCGGTTAAAAGCCATCATGTCACGCATATTGTAGCGAACTACCCTCATTCTCTTCATGTACCTCTGGTGAGATGTAACTTTCACTGAAGCAGCATCTTCCAGCCAACCGCCGCCTTGTGGAACCAACTCCCAAGAGGCTGCTTCCCCGATCACTACAATCTTAACCTAT